TGCGTCTCCCAGGCAGAGATCAACTCATTCATCACAAGGCAAAGATCAAACCTGGTGCCTTTTGGTCGCAAAACTGGAGCCCATTAGCTTCAAACCTGGCAGCATGGCTTTTAACTAATTTCAAAGCTGTGTCAGAATATAATGACTATTATTGAAGAAATTCTCCCTTCTTTGCTGCTAATCAATCATTTATGATGCTTAGATACTGCAACAAAACAATTTTAAAAAGCTGGGACACGTAACCAAAACATTATAATAGTAAGTCTACTTTATGCTAAGACCTCATAATACAAAGGGTAGACCTCACAAAGTGCTTAATCAAAATAATACAAGACCAAGACTGATCTTGAGCAAAGCAATACATCATTAAAATAAATCAATGATTATATTATACTATTATAGATTTCACTCTACTATTCAAGTAAATTATGAGTAATGTAAGCTTTCCAGTCTAGAAGGGAGTGAGTTAGCAATGGGTGGGCAACATTAAATAATAATGTGTATGAAAGATTAATTATGATTATTTTAAAACAATTTGGATAAAATGTGTGACTGGAAATTTGTGAAAAGTACATTTAGAGCAAATAACTGTAAGTAGTTATGTCCTCAAAAGTTAATGCATTCTGCTTGTTAAGATATAGGTGCGTAAACATTCCAGTCACTGGGAATACCATAAGATGACATAATTAGAGAATTTTAGACGGATGGATTTCAATGAGTAAAATTGTTGTCTCATTGCTGCCTTAGTTACAACCACAGTACACAGGTAATAAGAATCTATCTACTTCTCAACGTAACTATCTGGACAATCAATATGCACTTAACTGGTTGAAGGGTACCAGATATTTAGGACCCACGTACCATATAGGCTAATGCTAGACCCTGCCACTCAATGTTAATATTCTATTTGTCCAGCAAATTATAACGTGCATATTTTAACATAAAAAGCACATCAAAATGGTAGGCAAATTAAAAGCACTCTGAATAGTTCTATGAATATGGTTGCACTTTCTGAAATGTGGCAGTTTGTCATTCTGATTTATACACTTTCCAGACCAATTTAATTAATTTTGTGTGTTTAATGCTGTGGGTTCTATTGCGAATTACAGTGTGATGAACGTTGGGCTAGGCTAATTGCGCTATACAAACTGATATTTGCACTGTTAAGGTTTGATCTGTGTGCAGTTAACTGATACCAATTAGTGGGCTAAACTTATAATGATGGCAGAATAAACTGGGAGGTTAGATATTGATGAGGCAGCTTTTGTTTGGTTCATCAATCAATGACAGAAAAAGATCATTCCTGATGTTTTGATGCAATGCAAGCTGAGATTTAGCCTTGAAGATTATAAACACTGCCGCAATGGTGCGGAGCATGATTCTGAATGCCTGCAAAATATCAGAGTTAAAACTCATAACAAAGAAGAAATTAGTGATGGAAATGAAGGTACAACCTACATATTGACAACTATGGCACCCTTGCGTCCCCTTGGGCCTGTCCCGAATGTTACAATGATTTAAGAGGCATTGACAAAAGGGTATTATTTGAAGTTCTGTAATTAACTGCTGAAACTATTTTGAGTTAATTCATTTCACAATGTGGCAAAGTTTTGGATGTGTTGAAATAAATAATCTCTGCAACTGTATTCCTACCCTCGGCAGCAATCAACCAGGTTCCCACTTATGATTTCTATCTAACTTTGTCCCCAGCCATTCACCCCGATAGAAAATGCACTGGTTTGTCTCTTTCCAGCTCAGCCCATTAGTAGGCATAATATTATAGAGCCAATATTTATGGTGTTATATTTCTCAGGTTGTAGATTTCATGAAATAACAGGACATTATTGTTTAAACTACGGATCTTAAACATCATATTTCTTCTAAAAAGACTACCTTAAAATAATTTAAATGCATTTGCTAGATCCCTAAGAACTCTACAGTAAGTGCAATGGTGTTTGTTAAGCAATGTTGTTGATTTCTGGCACACTGGAGGCTTGTTTAGTAGTTAAAAGTCAAACTGTAAACAGCCAATGAATGGATTCTATGCAGAAACTGAAATAGTGGATCCCATTTTTAACAAAGTTGGAATACAAATGCACGAATTTAACTTTAACAATTGAGAATTATCAAGACATATTATGGGATTTAACATAATACGATGCCACTGATAGATCTATTCAGTAATTGGCTCACATCCTCCTGTTATGCCCCTGTGTTACCAGTAAAACACGCAATCAATCCAGGCTTATTTCACTATAGGTATTATTTAACAGGATTCGTCATTGTTGATTTTCTTTTGTATTTGGATGTTTTATCTTGCTGTCATATTACGAATATAAATCAGCTCACAAGAAGGGATACAATAGTTTATGATATTTACACACGATAAATATCCTCATAATTAACTATGGGACAGGTGAGACACAATGTATGCTTGTGCCTGTATTGTATTTGTATAAGGCTGCTAGAATATTATTACAGACTGCTTAACGTTAATTATTAACTTGGATGATAACATCTAGCTTAATGTAACAAGGCAGATGAACAGACAAGCTATTTCCCTGACATGCTGTTACCAAGGAAACAGAAATGAAGCAAGATAATAACTTTAAGCAGCATATTATTCAACTCATTAATAAAGCTGTCTCTTTTTACCTGTTCGGCAATATATTGTTTAAAAATCAGTTTTCATGTCATTTCTTCTGAAACATTAAGCCCTTCGCTTGACTCAGAAGCTGACTGACTTGCTGAGTATTCCTATTTTGGAAACATTATTTCAGGTTTCCAATCTTGGTATCGACTTCTTTTCTACACGCGTGAATTCTACTGGTCACACAACTATCACAATTTACAGTGGCTTTTCCAATGCAGGTTCAATGTTGTTATCATGAAATTACCACTTTGCATCAAAACTAAACTGGCAGTATAGCTTTGGTTTGAGTCACTCTCCAGGACTTGGGACTCATGGAAACATTATAATGTGGCTAAAAGGGGCTGATTATCAACCTGTAAATTGTGCTGACATGCCTATGCCTGTGGGAAGAGTGGGAGAGACCTCTGGTTAACCACACTGAATGGGGAGTGGTGCTGTTCCAGCAAAAAAAAAATTAACCATAAACTAGACATAAGCACATGCTTTTGATCTGAAGAAGTCATACTGGAAGTGAAAAGTCAACTCTGTTTTTCTCTCCACGCCTGCTGAGTTTCTCCAGTATTCCCTGTACTTGTTTCAGATTTCCAGCATCTGTGGCGTTTTGCTTTCAGATAAAGACATGCTTTGTCTGCCACATGAGCTACTCGGCATGGTAGTAAATGAAGGAAGGAAGTATATCTCCAGCGTGGGTCGTAGCATTGATAACATTAGAGACAAAAACAGAAATTGCTGGTGAAACTCAGCAGGTCTGGCAACATATGTGGGGAGAAAAAGCAGAATTAACGTTTCAAGTCCAGTGACTGTTCATCAGTAGCATTACAGGTTGTCTGAAACAGACAGCATATGATGCATAGCTCTAGTGTGGCACAGGCTACAGGCAAAAAAATGCTCATGGGGCACTTAGATCTCCAGGGCACATTTACATAACAGGCTTGAATGTATCTCCCACACAGCCTGTATCTCCCACAGAGCATGTATCTCCCACACAGCCTGTATCTCCCACAGAGCACGTATCTCCCACAGAGCGTGTATCTCCCACACAGCCTGTATCTCCCACAGAGCGTGTATCTCCCACACAGCCTGTATCTCCCACAGAGCGCGTAGCTCCCACACAGCCTGTATCTCCCACAGAGCGCGTATCTCCCACAGAGCCTGTATCTTCCACACAGCGCGTATCTCCCACAGAGCCTGTATCTTCCACAGAGCCTGTATCTCCCACACAGCCTGTATCTCTCACAGAGTGCGTATCTCCCACAGAACGCGTGTCTCCCAGCTGAGCATGTGCAGGCATTCAGGAAGATCACGCAGACACAGGGAGAATGTGCAAACTCCACACAGACAGTTGCCTGAAGGTGGAATCAAACCCGGTTCCCTGGTGCTGTAAGGCAGAAGTGCTAACCAGATTACTACCTGAATGGCTGTAAATTGCGAGAGGGGAGTGTGCAATGGGACCTGGGTGTCCTTGTGCACCAGTCGTTGAAGGTAAGCATGCAGGTGCAGCAGGCGATAAGACAAATGGTACGTTGGCCTTCATTGCGAGAGGTTTCGAGTACAGGAGCAGGGATGTGTTATTGCAGTTATACAGGGCTTTGTTGAGGCCACACTTAGAATATTGTGTGCAGTTTTGGTCTCCTTTTCTGAGAAAGGATGCTCTTGCTCTTGAGGGAGTGCAGTGAAGGTTTAGCAGGCTGATCCCGGGGAAGGTGGGACTGACGTGTGAGGAGACATTAACTAGGTTGGGATTGTTTTCGCTGGAGTTCAGATGAATGAGGGGGGAATCTCATAGAGACTTAGAAACTTCTAACAGGACTAGACAGGGTAGATGCAGAGAGGATGTTTCCGATGGTGGGTGTGTCCGGAACCAGGGTCACAGTCTGAGGATTTGGGGTAGACCATTCAGGATGGAGATGAGAGACATTTCTTCACCCAAAGGGTGGTGAGCCTGTGGAATTCATTACCACAGGAAGTAGTTGATGCCAAAATGTTGAATGTATTCAAGAGGCAGCTAGATATAGCACTTGGGGAGAATGGGATCAAAGGCTATGGGAAGAAAGCAGGATTAGGCTATTGAGTTGGATGATCAGCCGTGAATGTGAAGAATGACAGAGCAGGCTCGAAGGGCTGAATGGCCCCTTCCTGCTCTTATCTTTCCTGTTTCTATGTTAATCAAGACCAACAAGCAATGACTGGTAAACACTGATCTTTCCAGTAAAGCCCATAACTGAAGAATGAACAATTTACTCACAACATTTACACATTGACTTAAATGTTAGGGGATGGCAGTATCAAAAATTGTGCAAAAACACATTCATTGCTGGCCAGGCTGGTTCCCTGATTCATTGCTCACCTCAAGGTAAGGGATCACCTTGCAGGAAATATCTCCAAGCAGCCACTTTTTAGTCAGCTCATGAAATATGACCAGAGGCAGGCAGAAAAAGATGATGATGAAGTCCCAGAAAGCCAGGTTGGCCAGGAGCGAGTTGGAGATACTCCTCATGTAATAGTTGTGGCAGACAATGCACATGATGGACAGATTGGCCATGATGCCAATCACAAAAATGACAACAGAGAGGCACATAACAGCATAGGCCCCATAGGAGTCCTCGGTCATGGGGTAGAAAGGGTTCTTCAGCTGGCGCCTCCTGCCTGGGGCTTGGACAGGTAGCAGAGCTGGAGCACCGTCCGCACCAGAGCCACTCGAACTGTTGAGGAACCCCAAAGCTCCAGGGCCTGTGCTGGAACGATCTGCCGAGCTGTTGAGAAAGAGGGGCACGACTAATTCCTGCTGCTGGCCGTCCTGCACTTTGCCAGTGGAGTTGGGAGCATGTCCAGCCCTGTCTGCCTTCTCACTGCTCCCTCTGGGTTGGCCAGCCGCAGCCAGGCCAGTGGCTCCCCTTTTGGACCTTATTGTCCGCACCCGCAAAAGGCCGCCCTGTTGCCCAGAAGCAGCTCCCTGGGGCAGCACCGGGACTCTCCCATCACTCCCCCCAGAGCCTGGTGCTGCCAGCCCTGCTGAGCCCCTCTCCCCAACCCCGGGGCACTCTAGCGGCACTCCACTTGGCTTTGCAGGGGACAGGGCACAGAATGCGAGGGCGAGAACATAGCAGCGCATCTTCACAGGCGGTCTGAGAGTCAGCAACACTTTCCAAGGGCTCCTTTTCAATCCCCCTCTCTCCGTCCCTCAGTCTTCACTCCCCGTCTGCACACACTGAAGCATCAGCAGTTTCCAAGCTTCCCATTTTAAGTTTAGAAAATTCCCTGGAAGTACAAAGCCAGCGCCAACCAGACAAGTCTCAGCATCATCGAGGCAGGACTGAGCCAGGTTCTGCTCTTGTGCCCATTCTCCCCACCAAACTCCCCGGGGGTGGGGGATTTGCTCAGTTCTGCGTCCACCCCATGACTCTTCTCTCCCAAGGCTCTGCACCTTCCTCCGTTTGCTTTCCAGCCAGTCCCAGTGTGCGAGCTCTCTGTCTCTCTCTCTCTCGGGGGAGGGGGTGCTGGGGTTTCAAATTTCTTTTTGGAGAGGACGCGGGCAGGTGAGACCCAGGCAAGAGGCTGGGCTCCTTAGTAAGGTCCAAGGATTTTGGAGGGGGGGCGCCGATCCCAGTGTGGACTGTGTTCTGTGGGTGTTGGGGGGGCAGCTCCTGTGTTGCCCTTGTCCTGTCCCCTCCGGAACAAAACCCCCAGCAGCTCACATCAACAGCTTGGCTCAGTCAGAGATGCTGGTTGCTCCATCATCTCCGGAGAGACTGCACATTTAACCGACTGCCAAGACCAGTTCGAGCTCTCCTTACTTCGGTCGGTACTTTTATGTTCCTTTCACTTGAACCGCGTTTATTCCCAAGGTGGTCGAACACTCGAATGGGAGGTGCATGTTTTCAAGCGTTTTCTCCTCTCCCTATATCGGTGTCAATGAATGACTGTTGAGTGGGTAGTCTTGACCCATCTTGGCAGGCTTTCTTCCGCTCTAATCTGTTAAGAACTGCACCCCAGCGCTACACGTCTGGGTACTGAACCTCTCCGTATTCAGCTGGAGCAGACAGCATACACACACACACACGTCTCTAAACATCACCCGGACCATGTACCAACAGCTCCCTCCTGTGAAAGGCAAGTCATTGCAACAGGAGTGAACGCACTGCCACAGCCTGTTGGTGAGTTCAAAATTTTACTTCTCCAGCACTACTCCTTATAGAGACGCTGCCTTTCTCGGAAAACGACCACTGAAATGCTCTCATTGGATTCTTAAAGGTCTTGGCAGGGTAAATGCTGGCAGGATGTTTCTCCCCGTGGGACCAGAGGGCATAGTCTTAGGATAAAAGGGCACAAATTTAAGACTGAGATGAGGAGGATTTTCGTCTCTCAGAGGATTGTAGGTCTTTGGAAGTCCTTGCGACAGAGAGCTGTGGGAGCAGAGCCCTGTGTCTATATTTAAAGCTGAGATAGATCATTCTTGATTAGCAGGGGAATCAAGGGTTACAAGGAAAGGACAAGAAAGTAGACTTGAGGAAGGGAAGAGCGGGCTGGATGATATACTCCTGTTCCTGTTTCTTATGGTCTTATAATAAGCGCAGAAAGAAACAACCTTGTTTGTCAAGCTTCAAAGCCAGGGGTGTCACAATGTGTCCAGCGTTGCAGAAAGGATAGCTCAGTCAGGGACTAGGCAGAACTTCTACACAAGATAATCATTCCCTGGAACTACTTGTGTCGGGTATCATGATTCTGGCAATTAAAACTCAATAAGGCACTCTATAATAACAAGTTGCATTTATATAGGATTTCGAACATAGCAAAATGTCCAAGTTGCTTCACAAGTGGTATTGGGCAAAGTCTGACACTGATCCACGTAAGGCAAGATGAATTTGCAGCCACCAATGGCTGAGAGATGACATGAGATGATTGCCTCTCTAATACTGATAATTGACCAAGGAAATTGAGCAAGTGTGGGGATCCCAGGCAGTTGTAGCATTGGAGAGATATCAAGGGCTGAAGCAATGAAAGTTAGGACACAGACAGCAGAATTTTGAATTGATTCAAGATTACTGAGGGTGGAAGATGGGAGGCTGCCCATTGAGCATTGAGCATTGAAATAATTGAAGATTTAAGTAACAAAAGCAAGGATGAGGGCATCCAGCAGCAGCTAAACTAAAAAAGGGGCCATGAGGATGGCTCTGTCTTCCCAATATTTATTTGGTATTCTGTATATCAAAATTCTTAAATTATGCAAACTGCAACTTGGACAAACATCAGAATCAATCAAACCTGGAGTTATGGATGGTTGTTTAAGTGCTGGACTACTGCTAATTTTAAATGTACAGATTTAGATCCCCTGAGGGGTCAGTTGGCTGGATGGCTGGTTTGAGATGCAGAGTGATACCAACAGCATGGGTTCAATTCCTGCACTGGCTGACATTACCGTGAAGGATTCTCCTTCTCAACCTCTCCCCTCACCAGCAACCACAGAATGAAAGGGGGCATATATTTTCATATTTCAGTCCCATAGATGAATTCTGAAAATTTGTTGGCCGCACAGAAAACATAAATTGTAATGTAATCTCAGTCATTACATGTAGCTTAATGATACTTTTATACAACAATTTGCATTTTTATAGCACCTTTAATATCGCAACACTTGTTAAATGAGCAATTATCGAGCACGGAAACAAAAATTGCTGGAAAAACTCAGCAGGTCTGGCAGTATCTGCGCAGAGAAATCAGAGTTAATGTTTCTGGTCCAGGGACCATTCTTTAGAATTATCAAGCATAATGTGACACCGATCCAGATAAAGACTGCGACGATACCATGGGTTTAATAGTTGTATTTTGTCCTTTGTTTTAAATGAAGAAAGGTTGAGACAGATGTGATGAGTAGTCTGCGTAAAGCCAACAAACAACTTGAGGCCTTGCATTTCTTTTTAAGCTGGAACAATAGAAGCAGCCTGAATGGGTGGGGTCAAGCTCACACAGAATCAGGATTTTTAGTTTTAGCTCTCTGTATTTGCTGGCATCTTGAAGCTGAATGTAGAATATGTTACTCCTCACTGTTAAAGCTAAAAGCTGGGATTCTCTTCCTGCTGCTAGAATTGGATGTGAGACAATCTATTTTATTGAATTTGCCTTTGCCAAGGGTGTGTTTAGGGGCTGTTACTTATTAAGCATTTTGATAGTTACAATTAAGTCAATTCTTTTATTTTTGTTTTGTCTCTATTTTAACTACAATGTATGAATAAAGTGTGTTTTGCTTCAAGATTGATGGTTTGACCAATTGAATTGCATCTGGAATGCAACACCTGGCATACCTTTAAGTAAGGGAAGAAAAAATTAGGGTCTAAGCTATCTTCTTCATGCATTTTGAGGGGGTGTGATCTGGTCCATAAGAAGACATATTACAGCAGGATTTTTATTTTATTCATTTATGGGATGTGGGTTTCGCTGGCTGGTCAGCATGTGTTGCCCATCCCTAGTTGCCTTTGAGAAGGTGGGGGTGAACTGGTGAGGAGACAAATAGCTTGATTAAAGAGGCATAATTTAAGAAGCATCTGAGAGGAGAAAGAGATGTGGGGTGGGGATGGGGTTTGGAAAGATAATGGATGTTCTGGAATTAATTTTCCAAGAATCCTTAGATTAAAACAAATTCCCAGAGGATTATAAAACTGCCAACGTAACACAATTATGTAAAAAGGGAGCCCAAGAAACAGGTAAATTATAGGTCAGTTGGCTTAACATCTATCATAAGGAAAATATGAAGAATCTATTACAGGTATATCAATGTAATTACAAAGCATTTAGAAATGCATAATAGAAACAAGCACAGTCAGCATCATTTCCTGATGGGGAAATCATGCCTGAGATATTTATTATAGTTATTTGAGGTTGTAACAATCAGGGTAAATAAAAGGGAACCAATTGCTGTAATCTTTTTGGATTTCCAAAATACATTTGGTAAGGTACCACACAAAAGCTTCTTAATAAGAGCCTATGGTATTGGGGGTAACATATTAGCATGGATAGAGGATTGGTTAACTAAATGAACACAAAGTTTGGCTAATGACAACCTGTACATGGTGGAGTGCCATAGGGATCAGTACTGTGGCCACTATTATTTACAACATATATTAATGACTTGGATGGTGGATGTGAATGTAACATCAAGTTTGCAGAGGAACAAAAATACGTGGGAAAGCAAATAGTGAGGATGACACAGGAGTATGGAGAAAGAGATAAACAGGTTAAGTCAGTTGGCAAAAAACTTAGGACATGTATTATAACGTGGAACAATCTAAGGTTACGCAGGAAGATGAGAAATGCTGAACATTACTTAAATGGGAAAAGACTGCCAAAATCTGCAGCACAGCGGGACTTGTGGATGGATCCTCACTCATGATTCACAAAAACCTAGCATCTACGTTCAGCAGGTAATTGGGAAGGCAAATGAAACACTGGCCTTCATTTTAAAGAGAATGAAGTATAATAATAGGGACATCTTGTCAAAACTGTACAAGGCACTAGTCAGACCACAGTTGGAATACTGCAAAGGTTTGGTCCCCTTGTCTAAGGAAGGTGTACTGGCATCGGAGGCAGAGAGTGGAGGGTATCAGAAGTATGGAGGGCCTTTCTTATAAGAGTTAGAGTAGGTTGGTTTTGTACTCATTGGAGTTTAGGACGATGAGAGAAAATCTTGTTGAAACATATAAAAGATCCCTAGAGGTCTTGACACTGTGGATTTGGAGAGGTTGTTGTCCCTGTGGGACAGTCTAGGACCAAAGGGCATAATGTTAGAGTAAGGGATCACCCATTTAAGACAGAGATGAAGAGGATTTTTCTTCTCTCACAGGGTAATGTGGAATTCCTTACTGCAGAGGACTGTCAAAGTTGGGTCCTTAAGTACATTCAAGGCTAAGGTAGACAAATTTCTAATCAGTAAGGGAATCAAAAGTTATGGGGCTAAGGATGGAGAGTGGAGTTGAAGATAATCAGATCAGCCACAAATTCATTGAGTGGTGTAGCAAACTTGATGGGCTGAATGGCCTACTTATTCTCCTATGCTTCATGGTCTGAGAATTAGAACTGAAATTCCAAAATTTCAGGTTTAGATAGCTGAAGGCACACAGGGTGATGGTGAAGTGAGGAAAATAGGGAATACACTTGAGGCCAGAACATAAATACAAAGATCTTGGAAGGTTTCAGGACATTTGGGGATATTTGAAAACAATGATAAAAAATTTAGTTGTTAAGGCATCAGTTTACTGGCAGCCAACATACGCCATCGATCACAAACTCGATGGGTGAATAAGATTTGGTGACAGCTCGGCTATAGGAAGTAGAGTTTTTGATGAACTCAAGTTTATGGAAGATAGGTGACCATCCAGGAGACAAGATAACAAATACAGAATGTATCTTTGTTATAAATGATGAACAGAGGCAATTTGGAGATGGGCAATATTATAGAGGTGGATGTAGACAGTTTTAGTTTTAATTTCTCTACTCCTCACACCCACTCTAAACTGTTTTTTTCCCCAAACTTGCTGCAGTCTGTTCCGTCTCGTCCAACCCTACCTTGTTATCAAACCTCGTAGTAAAAGGGTAGTACTATCGTTGTCTGGTGTGCCGACCTTGACCATGAAGAGTGCTAACTCTCAAACACTCCCTCTTATCCACCCCGGATCCTGACCTCACCATTGAATATCAGGCTGTTATTTCCACGACTGTCAGTGACCTCATCTCCTCTGGAGACATTCCCCCTACTAGCCAGAGGAACATACCTCATAGTCCTCCAACCCTGCCCAAACCAGTTCTACCTCCTTCCAAAAAGTCACAACAACACTATCCTGGCAGTTTTAGCCTGTTTCAGCCCCATTGAACTATTTCTTCCTCTCTTGACCCTTTTTACTCTCTTCTTATTCAAACTCTTCTGCCTTACATTCTTCCACTGTTTTAAGTTGGTTTTATTGTGTTCTAGTTCCAGACATCTCCTCTTCCCCATGGATGTGCAATCCATCTACATGTCTATCCCCCAACATGATTG